AAAATTACTTTTTTAGTTATTGAGTAGGTTTTCGAGACCACCAGTAAATCAAATGTCACTATAGAATTCGTCCATCAGCTTCAGCACACTATACATGGCCGAATGTACACTCATTCGTTTCAAATACGACACTTCCTCTCATAGTTTCACTAAATATTATCTCACACTCTATGCAAACTCAGCCTTGCTTAACCAGTGCTGCTTCTTCAAACTGATCCCTAACTCGCCCCAGTTCTGTTACTTCCCCTTCTTCTATGTCCTGAACCAATACTACCGGAGTTTAATCTCCATCACTTCATTCTAGATCACACCTCTCAGACCAGACTACACCATTGAACTCGAGGTTTACTGCATGACGGTGGGCACTAGTCGCTGTTGCCAGGCGCAAGCGCTGTCGCCTACCGATTTGGAGGCCAGACCACCGCTAGAAATATGTTCCGGCGGTTCGGCGCCGACTCCGACGTACTCTTCTGATGGCAATTTCGCCCAAGTTTATGCCCCGCCTTTGAACGCCTACGATTCTGGTACTCCAGCCCTACGGTCCGGCCCCAGGCAAAGTGTGGCGCTGACCCCGGCGGCTCCAGTGTCGTCCACTTGCTCGGGTTCGCCGTCCAGAGGTTGTTCTTCCGTCCGAGCAGGCCGTCGGTCATCTCTATCTGAATATGCACATTTGCCAAGTAATGTGCCCTCGGTTGGAATCCCTTCGTATCACATCACCCAACTGTCCACTTCGCAGTGCAAACAGGTCAGCCAGGAACCGAGTGGCAGTATAGGTAGATGAACAGTAACTCCATTCTAGGGAGAAATCTGTTGAGTTCATCTCTGTTCTGAGTGAATTTGTACAATCAGGCGATTCGAGGGTTGATCCCATCAGAAGATGACTACCTCCCAGATGCCTCCCGGCCAGCTGTCTCTTGGCTTAATTCGAACCTTCTGGTTGCCAATCTTTCCGGCGTAAGTAGGTTTCAAGACTGTTAAATATTCCTGAATAGGAACATTAGTTAGTCTAAGCCACTCAAGGTGACATAATGACTAATAGTTGAGTTCTCCCACTTTGCGATGAATTTCAATGAATTTTACTTGGCCTTATCTGCCAAAAGTTCATCTTAATTAAGATGGACTACAGTTTCGACTTTATTAGTGTCCCCGACGAGATTTAACACAGGGCGCAGCATCATGGCATTGTTACCACTCTACCACACTGCCTTGGACGCCAGTGGGCCACATGGCAATCCAGGAACCACGCAAGTCACTTTTATATTAAAATTATATATGAAGCAAACATGTATTTATCATCAAAATCGATGATGTAATTATTTTCGGTATATACAGGTTTCATGACTATCAGTAACTCTTGAATAGCAATTACTAACTTACATAAAGAATAATTGACGTCGTAAATTGCAGTTACATGTTTGCTTACTCTGTATTTTATCTATAAAAGTAATAAGGGAGGTTCCTAGCTTGACTTTAATATCACCTCTGCTATTTCGGTACCAAATACCGCCTGGGGTGCCGATGACACATATTCGAGATTAAAACTGCCGTCTTAATAGCCTAACTGAAGCCTATTCATGAGATTGTAGGAAGACTCAAGTATCAGTCCCTACATCGCCTAAAGTGATATGGGGTACAAAGTTCTTGTTATATGACGGACATAATCAGAGCAGAGCATCATTCTTATGACTAATTCAGACTAATATGCTGTATATATACCTTAAATTTGACTTTGAGAATGATCCCCTGCTCCGATAACGTCGGTCATATGACAGACAAAATCTTAACACATTTTCACCGGAATCGAAGATAACGAAGTTACAGCTGGCAATGAGGAATGTGACGTCACCTTTGGTAGGACCTACCTTCGAATCGCCTAATAACACACTTTTACTGGAAATGGAAATGAGCTCAGTTTTTGTAAGCCTAGAGATTTCTCGAAACTCGACTTTTGTTTCTCTTATTCTGAGAGAAACTCTGCCAATAGCGGTGGAAAAATTTACCTTCATCAGATAACTCCGTAGGACAACATATAGAATTATGTGAATTCGTCCACCATTTTGCAGTGGCTCGATTATTTATCTTTGTTCTCGTGAAATGTTTCTGTAACTTTAAAACTATGCCGCTCTAATAAATAATGTACTAAAACTGTATAATCTGTCTGAAATAGTGAGCTTTTCATGTCTGCAGTTTTTAAGGTCATTGCTATCAAGAGTATACATGAGATGGTTTGAATCAAGCCGTTTTAAGAACTAGTTTCAGATCAACGTAGGAAGACTGTTTCGAATAATCTTTTAGTAGATTGGTGCTTGAGGCCTTGGACCTGTAGATATAAATATGTACGAATAATTCCTTGCTGAGCTTTCGTCCATCGTGACGGTCATCGTCAAGGCAGGACAATCTGAATTACGATAATTGAATAAAGCACGAAAACAAACAAAATGCCCGGCTGAAATCCTATTTACCTCTCAGCCAAATTTTGTCGGTTATCCTCTACTTTCTCTTATAATCTTGTTGAAAAACGATGTGGTTCTGGATGCCACGTGGAATGGTTTTAGATGACGCGTGAAGGGGATGCCTTTATGGCCAGGCAAATGAATCATTCCCTTAACCTATTAAGCCTATAAACTCAACAATATGTACAAAACCACGCAATCGCAACCATGCTTTTCCTTCAGTCATTAAGCCTCAATGACTCTAGACTAGTGGTTTCGTAAACTGGCTTATACGCGTACAGACTTACAACCCATCATTTCAATTGAACTTTTTCTTGGGTCATCAAACCTCAATGACCCGGGTTTGATGATCAGCTCTTCTAAAATTATGTAAAAAAAATTGGCTTTCGAAGAGTTTTTTATCTTCATGCTTGGTGAATTACCATAAAGCATAATGTCATGATCTGACGATGTCCGTCGCATGAGTCTAGTGAAGTTAAACAAGCGGTTCATATATAAATATTATTGACATAAATTAGTAAATGAGTTCATATTGTAATTTAGTTGGTGTTATATTACTTCTTAATTGTTGTCTGATAAATAATTTTGTGATTTTTGGCTCTCGTATCTTTGATAATGGACCGATTTTTAAGCAGTTATGAACGTAATAGTGCAGATAAAGAAAGTATGGCTTTAACCAGTGGCACTAGTGTGAAGAAACGAAAATATCGTAAATATGATGAAAGTTATTTAGAGTTTGGTTTTACGTCTACAAAAATTAATGGTGAAGATAGACCACAATGTGTATTGTGTATGAAAGTTTTGTCAACAGAGTGTATGCTTCCAAGTTAATTGAAGCGCCATTTAGAAGCTAGTCACAACAGCATGGTTGGCAAACCTCGTGATTTTTTAACCAATAAGTTAAAAGAATTGAAACAACAAAAAATACATTTTTTAAAACTGCCTCAATACCAAACAACGCTTTGCTAGCATCTTACAAGGTGGCTTACAGAATTGCGAAATGTAAGAAGCTTCATACCACCGCAGAACTTATTCTACCGGCTGCTGTAGACATGGTGAACATCATGGTTGATGAGTCTGCTGGGAAGTTGCTTTTAAAAGTGTCTTTGTTCAATAACACAATTAGTCGAAGAATACAAAATATGACGGAGGATATCAACGATCAATTAATTGAAAAAATTAAAGGAATTCAATTTGGATTGCTAATAGATGAACCTACGGATAATAATAAGGATGCTCATTTGATATGCTATGTACAGTTTATAAAAGGTAATAATATTAAAGAAGAGCTTCTGTTTTGTAAAAAATATCACATCAGGACCTGTTCAAGATTCTTGATACATTGATATCTGAAAATAATTTGAATTGGCCTAAATGCGTTAGTGTCTGTACTGTTGGAGCTCGCTCCATGTCTGGCTGCTATTCGAAGCAAATCACCAAATGCACTGTTGATCCATTGCATTATTCATAGAGAAGCGCTTGCATCAAAGCATCTGAGTCCTGCACTCAATCAGATGTTAGAATGTGTGGTGAGTGTGGTAAATTTTATAAAATCTCGTCCATTGAAAGCAAGGTTTTAAAAAAAACTGTGTGAGGATATGGGAGCCGAACACTCGTCTTTTTTGTACTATAGCAGTGTACGATGGCTCTCTCGTGGTAATGTTTTATCACGTAATTTAAAGTGTTGCAAGAAATTTTTATTTCCCTTAACGAAGAAGTTTACAAAGATGCAAAATAATTTGCTGAGGCCGATTTTTTAATAAAGCTGGCATAATTATGCGACATTTTTAAAAAGCTGAATTGCCTTAATCGTTCTCTACAGGGAAAGAACATGCACCTTTTGAAATCGACGGAAAAAATATCAGCTTTCATAAAAAAATTCAAACTATGGAGAAGAAAATTGAATGAAGATACAGACAAAGATTGTTTTTCGAGATATAAAAACCATGTTTGAGGAGCACTTATCATAGCTAATTAACTGGTTTGTGAAATATTTTCAAAATGAAAATTTTGATAAGTTTGCATGGATTCAAGATCCATTTAACACTAGTGTTCCGGCTGAATTTACTTCTGCATAAAAAGGGAATCTTATCGAGTTATCTTGCGATAACAGTTTTAACCCAAAATGTGGCAGCGTGGAATCGACATAATTTTTGATTTCAATAAAAGCTGAATATCCCCTTCTAAGTCAATAGACTCAGCGGATTCTAACTCCATTTTCGACGTCGTATTTTTGCAAAGCTGAGCTTTCGGCGGTCACTGTAATAAAAAGCAAGTATAGAGCAAAGATCAACCTGGAAAAGAAAATGAGGGTGACCGTGTCCAGTTTAATTTCACGATATGAGAAAATGTACCATGATTTGCAGGCTCAGCCATCACATTAATTATTAAATATTAATTTAATATTAATTTAATATTAATAAGTAAAAAAAATAATGAAGATACACGAGTTTTATTTATTTTTATCTCTTACTTACGAATAGTCATACTT